AATCTGCTTGAAATCTTATAAGGAACGGTTACTTGAGGAAGCAACTCTCTCTCTTCTTCAAGCAACTCATGTTGTCACGTCAGAGTCCTCTAATGACAAGAAATCGAGGATTGGGTTGCTTCATGTGACAAGCAACTCCCATTGGAGTTGCTCTTAAATGATTCAATTTCATCCTCTAATTTTTGAAAGATGTACAATGTTGCCTTTCTATCTAATTTTATTAACATCATTAATGTTAATAGAGGACCCAATTGAACCATTTAAAAATAGTGAGACTAAATTAAATCTTAAAAATAAATAGAAGAATCAAAAGTATAATTTAGCCAAGAAAATATAGACACGAAAAAAATTATATTTTAGGGACATTTTATATTTATTAAAAATCATAATTTAACTAATATTTTACCATATGCATTTCACATGTTAAATGTTTATTATATATAACTAAAACTTACGGTACCTCTAATTAAATTTATACTAACTTTATTTATAAGCAATGTTTTAAAAATTCAATAGGTCAAGGTACTATGTTAATGGATCAGGAGTTAAATTGATGGTTCACTTATTGAACCACATGAACTGGTCTCTATTAAATTTTTATAAAATATTAATGTTATATACATTTCATAGTTATAAATTTTAATAAAATTCACATTTTGTCTAAAATAAAGTCTCTAAAAAATGTTATAGTCAATATAATTTATGCTTATATATAAAGAGGATACATTAATTATAGTTATTTTTTCATCTCAATATTTTCTTAGACAATTTTACTCTTAAATATTTAAATAGTAAAAAATAATATTGAAAATTAACTACCGAGTAATCACTCAAATAAGTTAACTATTTTTAACCACTAAAATTTTTAACTACCTTAATTTTTATTTTATTTTAAACTTTTTAAATAAAAGATAAAGGCTGATAGTGTCCCAACTCTACTATTTTATAAAACAACCAAATTATAAACTGGTTGAACTTCATATATTTTATATATAATTTTAAATTAAGAACATATGTAAGTTATTTAAGTTAATTGTATAACAAAAAATATATTATTTTAATGGTCACCAAAGTATTAAATAATCATATTTACTTATAAATTTTTAATAAATAATTAAATATATAATTCTAATATTAATATTATTTAACTCATGTATTTGACGACTAAAAGGTGTTGAAGTGGTGGTAAGGAAATATACACTTTACTTTGAGTGCACAACGGATGGTTGGTTTAACTACCTAATTGACCAATTTTGACTAATTCAACTGCACAAACGATCCAATATTAAGTTTGGATTAATTGTCTCATTAGGTTTTGGTTGTATTGATTGAACTGATTGATCCAATGTGATTTTTAAAATTATCTTTATAAAATTTAATTTATAACAATTATTTGTTTATTTATATAAGATCCAATTAATATTATTTCATATATTAATTATTTTTAGATTAAGATATTCTTAATTAAAATATATTCTCTTAATTTAATAAAATACATTAATTATAAGTTTTTTAAGGAATATACATTCTAATTAGTTTAAAATAATAATAATAATTAGAAGAAAGAAATAATATAACACATGTACTCTAATTGATTATAAGATATATGGATATAATTAAGAAAGAGAAGTAGTAAAAATATAGTTTTAGAAGAAGAAAAAGTATAAATATGATAAATTTATTATTATTAATTAAATTAAATACTTTTTTTAATCATTATAGAAATAGAGATATTAATAAATTCTATATACAAATAAATACTATATTTAAATTTATGAATTAATTATACTTAAAAATTATATAAACAGATATTTTTAAACATATAAATTATATTTTAAATTTATGAAAAATAATTTATATTACATATTATTTTTAGTTATTGATAATTTATTTTAAAAATATTAAAAATTTAATTTATAAATAAATATAATAAAAATATAATTAGATAAAAAATAAATCTTTAAAAGTGTCCTATCCAAAAATAGTTTCTAATAATACTTTTGCGTGTCATTTGTGTATATATAAATAAATAATAAATACATAATTTATATTTTAAATTTATGATAAATAATTTATATTACAAGATTATTTTTAGTTATTAATTTAAAAATTAAAAGTTAATTTATAAATAAATATAATAAAAACAATATAATTAAATGAAAAGTTAATTATTTTTTAAACATCCCATTTAAGAATAATTTTTAAAAATATTCTTATACAAGATAATCATTATATAAAAATTAATAATATATTCAAAGAATTTTTTATTATTTTAAAAATTTTATAATACTTTTAAAATATATATGCTAAAAACTATATAAAAAATAATAATAAAATTGTATTTTGAAAAAAATCCATTAGCAGCCGCTAATGTAATGGATACAATTAATAACTGTTCAATTTATTTTATTTTATTTTATTTTAATGCAGTGACACACAGTTTTTAAACATCCCATTTAAGAATAATTTTTAAAAATATTCTTATACAAGATAATCATTATATAAAAATTAATAATATATTCAAAGAATTTTTTATTATTTTAAAAATTTTATAATACTTTTAAAATATATATGCTAAAAACTATATAAAAAATAATAATAAAATTGTATTTTGAAAAAAATCCATTAGCAGCCGCTAATGTAATGGATACAATTAATAACTGTTCAATTTATTTTATTTTATTTTATTTTAATGCAGTGACACACAGTGCAATTGTTTCTATCTGTTAGTAATGACCTAATGGGTAATGGCGGTTGGTTCAAATCCAAAAAAACATGACACGTGTTTAGCGTGAGTGGTGCACTTGTTAAGACGAAGGAAGGTAGTGGCGTAGTGGGTCAAGTTGAGGTCATCTCTAATATAGATAAATAGATTTTTTTTAACCATTAAAAAATTTAACGTAAAAAATCGTGACTAATTCTATTAAGAATTGTAAGTGCACATAATTTTTTTTTTCAAATTTATTTTTATAAAAAAATTCTTATTTATTATTGTATTGTCTCAAACTTATATCAATATGGCTTATCGATAGATATTTGACTAAGATAAAATATCAAGATGGAATACCTTGGATCGAGGGACGAGCAGGGGTTACCATCCATAAGTACCATCTCGGTTTCTCTACAATATATCTTTATTAGGGGAATTAGAGACGAAAACTTTAACTTAGCACGCATTATATCAAAAATAAAATTCCATTAATGATAATCAAATATTCGTAACATAAAAAACAGCTAAGAATCACGAAATTAACGGGATTATGGAGCCCATAAGGAGTAGCTATAAAACCTTGAACCCTAAACCTAATAAAAAATTTCTGACTCTTGAATGCTCTGGTTTAAGAGACTTGACCTAGGAGAATAACCCTAGACGCCCCCTTGATCGAAACAATTACTTTTAAATTTTATCAAAAATTGTAAGTGTACATAAAATGAACATGATAAAGATTTAAATATTGAATATCTTGATTAAGAAACACAAATTAAATAAAGAAGATGTTAATGCTAGGAAAAACACAAATTAATTATTCGTATATATACTTTCAAATTTATTTATATAAAAAAATTTCTTACTTTTTCACTTTATTTATTTCTTTTTCTTATGTCAATATCATTACGTCTTTTTCATATTGTTCACTTTAACATTTAGTTGATTATTATAATTTTATCTTTAAAAAAAATGTTTCAATAAGTTAAGTAGAGTAGAGAAAACTTTTAAACATATTAAAACAATGCTATTTCCTTTCCTTTTTGGACAAACTTTTACTTGTTTACAAAGCAAAATCAAGACCATGTGCAATTTAACAAAATAGAGAAAAATATCCTGTTTACATTATTTTTAAAATAAAAAAATATTTTATCACTTCACTTTTGTGATTTTTTTTTATCTTTGTTAATCTTATCACTTTTAGGATGGAGGTTACTATGGTCCACTTTTATAAGTTGTCAAAAAAAAAAGTAGTGCCACCTATAAAGGTGATCCACAATAATATCCATTTACTTTTCATTACTAAATTAATAATCAAACATGTAAAAAATATGGCTTAGGATTAAGGACAATCTTTTTTTATTAATTAGGGTTAATGATAAATGAACATGGTGAATATAAGTGGTAGTCTTTGATTTTCACACACCCTCTTTTACTTATGTGGATATTCGTCGTAAACCTTATAAATATTTGTGATTATTTGTTTGAATAAATAATAAAAGTAAAAATTCAAACTTTATTAATATTAAAAAGATAATTTTTAACACATGCTTATACTAAAAATAGTTTTAAAACATGTGTTTTTTATTAGAAATAAATTAAACCAACTTATTTTATAATAATTAAATATATTTAAATAATTATGACGCAAGTGCTAGTATTTTACTACCGTCTCTGTATTGTCAATAAACGAATATCCATAACAAGTTTTACATATGAGTATACTTTTTTTTTTGTCATCCTACTTACAATTATAAAAATAAATAAAAAAATCATTAGAAATGAATTTAAAATCCTTATTATTAATTAAAAAACAAAAAAAATTCTGTTAAGAAAATAGCCGATAATTAACTAACTTTCATATTATAAATCTAAGTCTTCATTTTAAAATTAATTTTTCTTAAGAAACTATATATTATCATTTTGGTCATTAAATTTGAATATCTTATCCTTCTTTTATAGTTTTATACTATTGTTGAAAATAAAATAGAAGGAGAAGGAAGGGTTTGACGTAATTAATACAAGTGTGGGTAGGTGATGTCAGGGAAGTTCACTTTAGAACATCTTTAACGGATTGCTTATAAGTAATCCTTGTGCTACATCACTTAAACTCTGATTTACTTTATCAGTTGCTTAAATTTTAGCAGAATTATTTATAGAAACAACTTTACTAAAATTTAAACAATTCATAAATTAGACCAGAATTAATTTGGCATACAAGGATTGATCTTAAACAACACCATTACATATGCTCTTAGTTGTTCCACGAGGTTATTACTATGGAAATGAACCGACCAGACCAGCAGGTTTAAAAAAAAAAATTGTGGTCCATATTATATGTACTAACATGTAATCCCTCTCTCCCCTTCAACTTGAAGCTTCACAGCAACCTCTCTCCCTTGTTACGCCAAAGATCACACTCACTCAGATTACCATGGCGTCAACTCTCTTCACCACCACAATCTTCAAGCCCTCACCCCCTCCCCCTAACTTCTTCAACCCCTTAACATCTTCTCATCACTCTACAATTCTCCCACTTCGACCCCACAAAAGAATCACTTCCTTCACCCTTTGCCTCCTCACCGAGGACCCCAAACGGGACATCCACATCAAAACGGAGGAACAACAACAACAACAGCTGAATGTGACAGAGAAATTGGCCCGGAAGAGGTCCCAGAGGTTCACTTACCTCGTTGCTGCCCTCATGTCTAGCTTTGGCGTCACGTCCATGGCAGTCTTCGCCGTTTATTATAGATTCTCATGGCAAGTCCAGGTATTTCATTAAACATCCCACATCGAATAGTAAAATAATCTCACACACTAGACTAGATTTATAGGATTGTCGCTTTAGCATCTCAATTTTAGATTGTGTTGGCATATACAGGGTGGAGATGTTCCATGGTCTGAAATGTTAGGCACACTTTCCCTCTCCGTCGGTGCTGTCGTAAGTCCTATAATCCCTTTACCAATTTCGCATATCAACAACATTTTTAATTTAATGAAATTTCATTAATTCAATTCTAATTTTCAGGTGGCTATGGAATTTTGGGCAAGATGGGCTCATAGAGCTCTTTGGCATGCTTCCTTGTGGCACATGCACGAGGTATGCTTCAAATTCTTCAATTTTCCTTTTTTTTTGTTTTAATTTCGTGATTCAAGCAACTACCCAGAAAATAAAAAAGCAAAAATTGAACTGGAGTTGTTGCAGTCTCACCATCGACCAAGAGAGGGACCATTCGAGCTTAACGACGTTTTTGCGATAATCAACGCTGTCCCTGCGATCGCTCTTCTGTCGTACGGTTTTTTCCACAAGGGTCTGATCCCGGGCCTCTGTTTTGGTGCAGTGAGTGTATCTTTCGTAATCTAATTTTTTAATCGCTTGATTAACGGTTTCATTGGGATCCGTTAATCGAAATTAAGAATGGTACTGATTTGACTGTAAGACCCCCCGAAAGTGTGAATAATAGCATGGTGGTGTTTGAACTTTGAACAGGGTCTCGGAATCACGGTGTTTGGGATGGCGTACATGTTTGTCCACGATGGATTGGTTCATAAGAGATTCCCTGTGGGTCCCATTGCCAACGTGCCCTACTTCAGAAGAGTTGCTGCTGCTCACCAAGTAATTATATTCGGTCAATATACTTGACATTTATTTATTTAAGCATTGCAAGGGAAAGTGTTATGTGTATGAGAGTAGTGTTTGTTTTTTGTGGAATAGGATTTGATCTCTTCATTTTTGTTGTCTGTATTATTCAGCTCCACCATTCGGACAAATTCAACGGGGTGCCATATGGGCTGTTTCTGGGACCCAAGGTCAGCCACGTTCCTATTTCTCTTCCCATGTACTTTCTTCATTTAATAACTTTCTTAGACCCAAAGTACACTTCAACATGTTTGACTTTTATTTATTTTAATTGAAATTATTAGTTTTAGTATAAATGTTTATTGAAAGATGAATAAGATTACAATTTACTAGAGTTTGCAAAATAATATGTATAGATATTTTTGTATTTAGCACATTTAAAATACGATGAATTTTTGTAAGATTACTAGAACAAGTTTACTTTTTCCTGTTTGTATTTACTTTGCTAGAGGTTTGCATATTTCTTCCTTTGCTAATCAAGCCCTTTGTGTGATAAAAATATGGTTCAGGAAGTTGAAGAAGTGGGAGGGCTAGAAGAACTAGAGAAAGAGATAAGTAGGAGAACAAGGTCCCGTTCATGACCATGCCACTGGTGTTATAATTATATCACACTTGTTTCGAATAATTGAGTGTAGAGAAAGGGAAACAATGATTTCAATATATTTTTGCTTTCACAGGCTGTCCATTTTATAGCAGAATGCTTTAATATATAACAGAAATATAGCCTAAAAGTTTATAGATATATAAAACAGAACATGGACTTTCCATTTTGTTGAGGTTGCTTAAATTATATGGCTTTTATTAAATTTTGAAAATTATGTTAAACTTGATAATAATAAAAAAGCTAATAACTTAATTAATTGAAAGCTTAAAAAGTTAACTAAAAGCTAAAAAGTTAAGTTTAATTAGGTTAAAGTTAGCTAAAAATTATTAGAGCTAAAATAAATAAATAAAAGTTAGCTAACTTTTAATTATAAGCTCCAAATTTTTGCTTATAATATGTTTTTCTTTATTGATATTTTAATCATGTTATTTTTTTTCGTATATATAATTAATAGGGATTTTAAATTGGTAAATAATTTATAAAAAGAACTGAAATGCTTAAAGTTGTCGTTAATATAAAATAAGAAAAATAATTTGAAGTGCAAAACTGTGTCTATTAGTTGTGTGAGAATTCATACTTAGTTGAGAGGTTTGTCATGACATTATCTTATATTAAGAAAGATATAAAAATATGAGTATATATAGGGTGTGAATTGAGTGGACGGCGATGGCGAATTTGAGGTTTCGTAGGGATGATTACTTACCTGAGTGATGGTGTTTTTTGGCTTCGGGTTTGCTTCTATCTCATCTCATGTCTTAGATACGTAAACGTGTAAGACATATATTCTCGTTTCGTTTCTTGTCTTCACCAATTAGTTTCGCTCAACACCAAACCTTAGTGGTTTCTGCACTTCATCACCTTTCTCAATGGATTGGATTGGACCACCTTTCACTTTCCCTGGCTTTGTGGGGTTTACTCACGTTTCCATCCATTTTATGAGTCAAATTTGAGAAGCATGTTAAAGATTAAGAAACCACAATTAAGTCTTCTTGCTCATACTGCGAATAATTCTCAATCCATCAATATCATAATTTGTTTTCTTTCACAACAAAATCCATTTTCATTAAATTATTAATTACCTCGTGCATGCTGTGCTGTCTAAACTAAAAACGCATTTGTTTAATTAATTTAACGACCACGATTGACTGAGCTAACACCACTAACTAAATTACCGGATATCGATTATAAATGTGATCAATGTAGAGTCGATTCAAAATATTATCTCTAACCGTGCTATCATTTGAATTCAATGACGTAAAAAAGAAAATTAAGTAATCTAAAAAATTAAGATAAAGCTCAAGATAAGATCCACGAAATATTTTTCTATAAAAAAGGGAAAGATAAAAGTATACATATGTAAAAAAGATAAAATAAGTTATTGTTTTTATTAAATTAAAATTTCTATTTTGTAAAACTCATAAGGCAATAAATGGTTAAAATTTGCATATATATATATATATATATATATCCATCTATCCATCTCTTTTTTTTTTTAAAACCTCCTTCCTTTCAGAATCCTAACTTATTATGAATTATTATAACTCGTAATAAAGATGCTAGTATGCTCACCACTGGCCTCTATAAAAATTTATTTCAGAACCTTTCTAATTAATTAATTATCCAAATTAATTTTTTTTTTCTGTCGCAAAATGAATAAAGTTGTGAGAATTGTACTTGAGACACAAAAATGCTTGTGCATATATGGTTGATATACGAGTTCATATATATAGCTACTTGAGTTTCACTATTGTTATCCTTTTTATTGATATTTTAAAAATCGATTTAGATTAGCCTGTCAAACTGGTTGAGCTGAGAATTAATAGTGTAATCAGTTTAATTACGAAGATATTTTTCATTATTCTCGTCAAAGTATGAAAAAACTTATCAAATATTACAATGATCACTTATTTTAATATATTTATTTGTAATATGTACAATTTAAAATATTTTTTATAATATTATTAATTTTAAATTATATATTTAATAA